AAAAACAAAGAGGTGAATTAATTTTAATTGTATATTTTATTTAACCTAGTTATCCAAATATTATTATGTCAACATGTAATCAATATAAAATTATTAGAGATAGTTTTCATTCTTTTTTTCAAATGAAACCTTCTAAATCCAGTGTGTATTTTACACTTATAGCACATCTCTTTTGAGATGCTAAATTTTCATCAGAAATGCTTGATCTCTATTTAGATTCACAAAAATTGCAGTTAAAAAAGTAGATTCTTTGGGGCCAGCCCGGTGGCGCAAGCGGTTAAGTGCGCGCGCTCTGCTGCAGCAGCCCGGGGTTCGCCGGTTCAGATCCCAGCGAGCACGGACACACTGTTTGTCAGGCCATGCTGTGGCGGCATCCTGTATAAAGTAGAGGAAGATGGGCACGATAGTTAGCCCAGGGCCGGCTTCCTCAGCAAAACAAGAGGAGGATTGGCAGATGTTAGCTCAGGGCCGATCTTCCTCAAAAAAAAAAGTAGATTCCAAACGCTATTAAAAATTTTCCAATAAATGAATGAAGTACAAAAACACTATTTTCTTTAATATTTGCATCTGTATTGACAAAAATGGCTCATATTTTTAGAACAGTTGATTTGACTGTGAAGCAAAAGTATATCAGTTTCAAAACTACATCTGAGTAAATCTACGAACTTTTATAACAACTCAGTATTATCAGCATCGAATTCAAAGGGGCACTATGTATTAAACTGAATATCGACTCTGGATTTATCCATACCAACAAAGTGTTCTCAAATTTTTGTCATATGTTTTGCAGCCAATTTACATAATGCCATTACAATTAAAATCTTCTGATATTTATTCATTAAATATGTGTAAAATCATTATTGATCTGTATTATGAAAAGCTTAAATTTTAACATAAATTCTTGTACCTATCTAGCTAGGCCACAAATAAGCTTTTTCTCTCTTTGGATCTTTAAATTTAGCTCATTCCAATGTGCCCTCTGATAAAGTGAGAAAATGTAAATCACACTGTGATGTTGCTCTTTGACTGTTGAATATTGGCGAGTGTTTCTTTTGTTTCAAGAAAATCTTGAATTAGAGTTAACAGTACAGTAAATCTGTGTAAAACTCTTCCATGACTCAAGCCATGAACATTGGCAAAGAACATGCTGTCATTAAATTCATTATCTTCTATTTCTTACAACAGTTCCATAAACTGGTGATGATTTATAGCATTTGCACATATATACTGAATAATTTTCATAATTATTAAACTGTGATACAGCCTACTTCAGAGCAGAAATATTTTTGATATGTTATCGCATAGTGGAACAAATGTAATAATTCCAGTAAATCTAGATTTTTGATCTCACATAGCTGGCCCATTGTCTGTCTTGATAGGAACTAACTTTTTCCTGTCTTGCTGAAAGTGACAGATGTAAAAGATTAACAAATATCTGCAACATGAGATTGATTATTTTTAAGGTTGCAAATAGGCAAAGACATTTCTTTGTAAATTTGGAAGTCATTTGAGACAGAACGTAGCAAAAGTATTAATTGGCCAGTATATCTTATCTTGTAAAACTCATCTAAAGCTAAAAATAAAAGTACTTGCAATTTTTCAAATGTTGACTTGATTGATCTTTATTATTGTTAGAAAGGTCTTTTATTCACTGATATTTTTGCTTGGTGGTTAATCGAAGATCTTTCACTTTTTGTAAAATGTTGTTTTAATCTTTTCCTCAAATTTATAAACATAATTCCCTTAACTGAAATAATAATTAAAAGTTTCATCTGTCCATCTGAAAACAGTTTTCTTTCTTGAGCAAGAATTCAAGTCATTTTATAGCTGGCCAAAATTACAAGCTCAAATCCTTTAATAATCGTTAGGAGATTTTTTTGTTATACATTTAATTCTGATTTCATTGATTCTGACTAATAAATAAAAATTGATTATTTTTGACTGTTGAGAGACACCTTCTTATTCAATTAACATGCATTTGCTGAAAATGACTCAATATTGTCTACTCTATTATCTTAAAACTTTTTTTATATAACTTATTAATTTTGCTCTGCTGTAATTGCCATTCTTTGTAAAATTTGTGACAGATCTTCTCCAATCGATTCTGCCTCATTAGTGTGCCTTCATTTGAAAGTTAAAATTTTTTCTTTCTTAATTTTTAAGCTAGAAAAATAATTTAATTATATTGTAATTAAAATAAGTAATTCAGTTTACCAATTGCTATTTACATAGGTATCCCTGTAACTCTGCTGTCTGCATAAAATACTCAAACACATCACAGTGCTACATTGTTGCATAGAAAAATAACTTGAACTGAATCATTCTGTTGACACAAACTAGATTGTGACATGCATATGTGTAATACTAGAAATGACACATGCACCCATCGTGTGCACTGCAATACATCTTATGGATGTAATAATAAAAGTGAAATATAGTTTTACCAAAACCATAAAGTTGTGTTTAATGGAAAAATAATTTATACTGCTTCGATTGTTAAGTGAAATTTTGTATCAATTAAAATTTAATAAAATTAAAGTTTAGTTCCCTGGTTGCATTAGCCACAGTACACAGCTGTAGAGTCTAGAGCAATGTATTCACTTTATTTTTTTATTTTTATTTTTTTAAATTTTATTTATTTATTTTTTTCCCCCAAAGCCCCAGTAGATAGTTGTACATCATAGTTGCACATCCTTCTAGTTGCTGTATGTGGGACGCGGCCTCAGCATGGCCAGAGAAACAGTGCGTCAGTGCGCGCCTGGGATCCGAACCCGGGCCGCCAGCAGTGGAGCGCACTTAACTGCTAAGCCACGGGGCCGGCCCAACGTATTCACTTTAATGATGAAAGTTCAGGGAGATGAAAGAACTAGACCCAGTTAAGCCAGATTAGTTCAAAATGGAGCAAGGCCATAAATAAATCTATATTTCAATATATGAAAATATTACCTTTACAAATGTAATTTTATATGCCAGGCTGAATCCATGTGACGTCAAAAAGAATTACTTTTTTTTTGTAATAGGGAGTACATTTTTTTTCTTTTTTTTTGAGGAAGAGTGGCCCTGAGCTAACATCTGTTGCCAATCTTCCTCCTTTTTTCCTTTTTTCTCTCCAAAGCCCCAGTAGATAGTTGTATGTCATAGTTGTACATCCTTGTAGTTGCTCTATGTGGGACGCTGCCTCAGCATAGCTCCATGAGTGGTGCATAGGTCTACGCCCAGGATCCGAACTGGTGAACCCTGGGCCGCTGAAATGGAGTGCGTGAACTTAACCTCTATGCTGCCAGGCCGGCCCCAAAAAGAATTACTTTAATAAGAAAAAATGAGTTATTTAACTTAATTTGAAAGCAGTTGTTTCTTTAGACAAAGCATACACTTGTTTGTGGAGGTTAAGGGGTTCACTTTTCAATTAGATACCATGGTAGCCTGTAAATATGTGAAAGGTGACTTTCTCAGATGAACTCTAGCATTTGGAGTTGTTTTTGTTTTGAACACTGAGTATTGTTTTATCTGAAATACATGCATAAATTTATGCAAACATAGAATGAAAATGTAGGGAGGAATTAGAGTAACAAGGCAATTTCATTCTTCAGCGAATGCCTAAGGTTCACAGAGGACCAAGTGCCTTAAGCCCAAATTTATAGGCAGAGTAGACCATACCCTCTTAACCTTTATGCTGAGAGGAAGCAAGGAATTAAACCTTTTCACTAATTTATTTCCTTTACGTATTTGTCATAAACCCGATAAAGAATTATTGCCATTGCTGATAGTTTGGTCATAGAGAAACGGTCCAGGATGTAAAAAGTAGCTTTTCTGTTTGTGGAAATGTTAGGGATTGATCCTGGGAACTTGGAGAATACTTAGAGACTCTTGATTGACAGGAAGTAGTCAATTAATGGGAGGATGGGTGTTAAATAATTACATATATAATATTTTAAAGTTTTCAAAAGCATTGACTTAGAATTTTGACTCCTGTGAACAGAAGACACAAGCTATGCTTTTGTGTGTAACCTTTTTTTTTAAAACTACTTTTCCCCCTCCTTATCTCAGTTTTTATCGAGTGGTTTCTGATATGTAAGAAATGTTTTTTGGATTCTGCTGGAGATGACCTAATTTTTACTAATTGCTGTGCATGCTGGTTTTATTTGCTCAGAATGGTGGTGTTATTGTCATTATTCTTTGATAGTTATAAAAAGTGGTTTTATACAAAGCTGCTATTCAAAAGAATATATTGATACTAGCCTGTAAGTTGTTTTTGTTAAAATTGGCGTTATCTCAGGAAAAAAATTAAATGTTAATGTACAAGTTAAAGTTTATTACATGTGATTCCTTATATTTTTTGCTTATTGACTTGCTAAAACACACACACACACACACACACACACACACGATCAGTTTTAAAGAACCCCTTAAACGTCTTTCTTCAAAGCAGTTACCAGTTTCCCAAAAGATGTAGCCACTGTTTTATACTTTTTATAGTACCTCAGAATGAAAAGATTCATTCTTCTCAACTGTCTGAATTCAATTTATTTTAATTAAATTATGTTTAAAATGTATAGTTTTATTTTAGTTTTTTAATTCAAATATCCCTACAGGTTAATTACCTTTTCCCTGCCCTTCCGTTAAATCTTGCTTCCTCCCAAACTCCCCATTAATTTGAGTTGGGAAGTATCACCTTAAAGCTTTAGGCTTAATGCTACATGAATAGAATACACTAAAAAGAATGTCACACACGTAGCAGCTTGTTTCGTTTTCCAAGGGGGAATTGAAGAGCTTTTGAATGAAATGTGAAAAGAGGCTAGTGTTCATTGCCTACGTGGCTTTTTAAAAAGGCTCTTAAAAAACATTCCATTGTGGATTCCAAGTCCTCTTTAAACCTACCACCGACAGTAGCTGCCTGCAGAGCCATGTGATCATCTTGGCAGCAGCCAGGACTTTTAGTGATTTCATTACTGTGGTTTCCTCAAGCTCTTTACACACATTGATTAATATTTTCCTTGCAGTTATCGCTGTGATGATTTTGTGGTTAATGACACCAAGCTGGGATTGGTACAGAAAGTCAGAGAACACTTACAGAACTTGGAAAAGTAAGTAATAGGCCTTTGGAAAGAAAGGGGATGGAATGGGATTGAGGGGTCTTTTAGAATTTTTGAGTGGTATTTTTGTTTATATGTTCCGTAATTTTATCATGTTTTTAGTGTGATTGAAATGTTAATAAAATAAACTTTGGGTTTGGATATCTCAAACTGCGCCCATAGTTAATTGTCATTGCTCAGCATTTGTTTCACTTAATATTTATTATAAACCACAGCCAAGGGCCCAAGAGCCTGTTTTTTAGTTATTATCCACCAACTTATAAGCTACTCAATTTATGTGCAAGGGGAATTTGAGGGGAGCAAGGAAAGGGCAGAAAACAATATAAAATTATTATGGCGTTATCTTTGATATTAGAAAATCTTTGTCAAATGTATTATGAGGTCTTCTTAGAAGCACTAAAATTTATGCATTATTTTTAAGGGAAATTAGGTTTAATTATATTATTGTCCACTCTGCATCTATACGATAGCACAAGATCCTAGTTTCTTCTTTTCCCTTTTTGTTAGAGGCAGTACATATCACTTGAAATTACAAGAAGCTATGAAATGCTTTGTCATCATAAAGAAATTACTTATGTGAATAGAATTTTCTTGCTATAGCCAAATAGATTATTCAGATAAAACTCACTGTACCCCAAATTCAAGCAATAAACAAACCCAAATAGCAATGCCTTTCAAGCTGCAGTGGATGGAAGCATGGCCCTGGAATGACTGCTGACTCCAGTGAAATTGGTGTAAATCACTCCTAATCATCAGGTGCCATCTAATTTATTTTGACAGTTGATGTAGAAAAGCTGTTGTGAGAACATGGCCAAAGTAAGAGTCCCTTAGCAAACTTAAATGTAAAGCCAAAGGAAATAACCTAAGTTCTTTGAGTGAAACTGTATAGTTTTGGTTAACCAAAGCCTTTATGTGTATCTTGTTGACTAAATAGATTATAAAGCTGATAAGGGAAGAATTGATTTCTTTAAAATCTCAACTAATAAAACACTTTGGGTTTAAGTACTTTTTGGCTTGTCATCTTTTGGCTCCTCTCTTTTTCAAAGTGCTTCTTGTCTTTTAGTTTTGACAGAGCAGCAGGAGCCGATTAGAGACACAGGTACAGATACATTTTAGACCCAAAATATTTAATTTTGCCTGAAATTGTCACAATTAACTGTGAAGTAGGAGATTCTTGCAGTAATTTATGTAATATCACTCTTTAGTGTGGTAATGTCATTGTAAAGATCTTACTAACTTCTTTGTTATAGAAGTGGGTAGCTAGCAGAATATTTTTCTGCCATTGATATAGTTTTCTCTCAGAAAAAGACTACCATCTCAATCCCAAATAAATTCATCAGAACTAAGTCAAAGGGAAAAGAGGACAGTCAAGAACCTGCACGCATTTATGCAGTTATCAAATCTTTCATTTCCATTGAGCACTTCATCAGGTAAAAGATGTCACAGACTGCCTTGTCTATGCTTCTACTTGGCTCCACTGAAAAATCTACCTTGCATTCCTTTCCTTATTTTGAAAAACATTACCTAAGTTAATTTTTATGTTTTTCAAATGTAGGCTTTAGTCTGTAGTGGAAGCTGCAATTTAAAAACTATGATTATATTTGTATTTTACTTAACCTTGGACTAGAGGTTAAGTAAAACACAGTGCCTCTGAGCAGCACTGTGCAATAGAACTTTCTGAAGTGAGGGATATTTTCTCTTATCTGCACTGTTCAATATGATAGCCACTAGTCACATGTGGCTACTGAGCACTTGAAAAGTGGCTAGTATGACTGAGGAACCGAATTTTAAATTTCATTTACGTTTAATTAATTTAAATTTATATAGCCATGTGTAGTAAGTGGCTACCATATTAGACAGTGTGGATCTAGAGGATTCTGCATTTTGAGAATCACTGAGGGTAAAATTTAATAACTTGTTTAAAAAAGCTAAATGCTTTATTTATATGGGTTAAAACTGAAAATTAACTATTAGGCATTGTTACTAAGTAGTATATATACTGTGCTTGGGATTCAGCTTCTTTACTCACAGAATCTGAAGGAATAACTTAACAACTTAATGTATAGAATTGGTCTCTTCTTACCTTGTAGTCACCGATACTCTGAGAAGGGACATGCACATAGTTCTGAAGACGTGTTTCCTAAGAATATTTTTAGATTTGAAGCAATTGACTGTCACTAGATCTGATGTTCCAAAGATATTATATTTCATGTTGAAATTAAATAATTATGTATTTACTTTGGATTAGTCTGGTACTTTTAGAAGATGGGAAAGAATTGGCAGACTTAAAAGTCTGTGTTGTTTAATGATAATTTTTACTTCTTTTAGATTAGTTCTCCTAATACATGATAATTTTAAAGTGACCTTTTGAAGGTTGGAATTGCTTTCTGATAAAATTTAGGCAAATTATCTCTTTCATTAGGAAAACTTTTGAATAATTTTAATTCAGAATTTCTGTGCTAATTAAGATTTGTTTTAGAATATCCTTTGCAGCATAGCTGAATCAAATCAATTTATATATGCCTATAATTTATCATTCTGCAAACTCAGATCATATCATAATCTATTACGACAAATGAGTAAAACATGATATCTTTATCACAATTAAGAAAGAAGTGTAGTATTTAAGTAGAGAAAGAAGTACAGTAATTAAGAAAGCATAGTATTTGAGGCTTAATGTTAAATCTCAGAACCATCATGTCAGATCAGGGTTTTCCTTTTGTTGTGAGGAATGGGTCTTCTCATTTTTGAAGCTTCGTAACTGACTAGGCAGATAGAGTGGGAGTGGACAGGGAAGGTCTCATACACTGCATCTACCTGGCCAGCTCTTCTGGGAAGTGCCTGGTGGTGGCTGCTTCCAGTCCCCCACCCTGCTGGAGGAGCAGTGGGCATTTCCAAGGGAAGTGGACCTCCTCAGTTACTGCAGATGCTTGTGGGCCATAGCGGCCTAATGGGTCATTTCCTGGCCTTACTACACAGCCAGGCAGGGCTCCATAGCCTCCCTACATGCTTAGAAGAGCCAAGTTTATTCTTTAACCTGCTGTGTAGTATGTATGTATTAATGTCTTTTTGACTCTGTTTATATTTTAATAGTTCAGCTTTCACAGCTGACAGACATAGAAAAAGAAAACTTTTGGAAAACTCATCACTAAACAGCAAGTTATTAAAAGTAAATGTAAGTAATTAAAATTTATTCAAATATAAGAATTGGTTAAGATCTAGTCACTGTTTTATTACAACTCTGACATTAATGTTGCCCCTTATAAGCTTTTATAAATGTATGTGTTGGATTTGGAATATTTTACAAAATGTTGGCCACTTGTACTAATGATTCTTGATGTGACTAAATACCCCAGTGAGTCCATCTGTCGGTGCCTTCCTTCCTGTAATCCCGTCAGGATTACTACTGTGCTCCTCTGCCTTAGCAAATGTTTGTTCTTAGCACCTACTCATGTACCTTATTGCTCCGTTTCTATAGATCCCAAAGATCCTTGCTTCCTTCTGTTAAAGGTCCCTAGTGCAAATTCTGTGGGTCTGGAATTTTGGTAAATTTCCTTAGGACTTCGTTAATACAGTTTCACCATGGAAGAATGTGCTTTCTCATTCTGGTAACCATCTGTTACCAGATGTATGAGCTATTAATGGATTAACAAAATGTAAAGATGGCTAAATATTTTTAAATACACCAGTAATTTTCCCTGCATCTACCTCTCTGCTGTCTTGCTACCTATGTTTAGACACACACTTAATTAAAGTCTTATGATTTTGTGGAAGAAAGAGCTAAAGTGCTCTCTGCCCATCTGAATTATGGGCAGAGATGCTTTGGGTTGGATTTGTAGAGTCACGGCCTAGGTGTAGTATTCAGATGTCATGTTGCATTTGTAGAGCTAATCAGAAAACCAAGCCTTAGTCTTTAAGGGAAGTTCAAGTTGTTTTTTTAAGATTGACACTCCATTGGTAGGAAAACATATTGTTCGTTTATGCATGGCTTAGAGTTAAAAGTTTGGAGTCACAAATACTTGGGGTGTATATATTTATATTTTTCAATTTGTAGTAGTTTTAATAGAATTTTAAAAAGGCATTAAGTCTTTTTTTTTTTTTTTTTATATTTTTTTTTTTTTTTTTTCCCCCAAAGCCCCAGTAGATAGTTGTATGTCATAGTTGCACATCCTTCTAGCTGCTGCATGTGGGACGCGGCCTCAGCATGGCCGGAGAAGCGGTGCGTCGGTGCGCACCCAGGATCTGAACCCGGGCCGCCAGCAGTGGAGCGCGCGCACTTAACCGCTAATCCACGGCGCCGGCCCTAAAAAGGCATTAAGTCTTAAACTTTATTTCTTTTAAGGCTCTTCCTGGTTTAAACTTTATTTCTTTTAAGGCTCTTCCTGGTTTTTCCATTGTGTACTCCAAGGTATTTATTAATGCTGATTTCCTCATAAGCTTCCATGAGGTTCTCCCATTTAGAACAATTCCAGGATCAGAAACAGCCTTCTAAAAATATCCAGATACCTATACAGAGATTAGAAAGAGAGTTTTAAATATTCATTGGACAGAAAAGGACTAATTCCAGGTTGGCTTGATGCTAGAGTTTCAAATATAGGCCTTTGCTTTGCTTTGATGTTTGAAACAGTTGGCCTTACTCTTGGCACTACTGATAGCCTCTTCTTGTCCCATTTTACAGGGAAGCACCACTGCCATTTGTGCCACAGGCCTTCGGAATTTGGGGAACACGTGTTTCATGAATGCCATCCTTCAGTCACTCAGGTAATGTTACAGTCAGAGCTTAAGTATCTGACGTTAATTTCTAGTGGAATGGTTAAGAGCGAAGGCCCTGGGTTCAGATCCTGCTCTGCCTCTAACTCTCTAGTCATATGGCTTGAGGCAAGTGACCTCAATTCCCTGTGCCTTAGTTTCTTCATCAGTAAAATTGGGGATAATAGTTCTACCTCATAGACTAGTTGGGAAGATTAAATAGTATGATTTATATGAAGTGCTTAGAAGAGTGCCAAGCAGTAAATTACTATTAGCTGTTATTTTTTATTTCCTGTTGCTTCTTGAATGGGGTAGAGGTCAGCAAACTTTTTCGGTAAAAGGCCTGATAGTAAATATTTTATTCTTTGCATGCCATATATAGTCTCTCTCACATATTTTTCTCTTCCCCCTCCCCTCTGCCCTGCTTTTAAAAACATCTCTTTACAAGTGTAAAACTCACTTTAAAAATGTAAAAGCTCACTGGCCAGGGGCAGATTTGGTCAGTAGGCCATAGTTTTCAGACCCCTGGGCTACAGGGAACCTAGTTCAGAGAACTTAATTCATTCATTAGTTGAGTCTTAAGTATAGTCATAAGATCGAATGTTTAGATCTTCAAAATGTAAAATAAGTATTAAAAATAAGATAGCCAACAAGGCTGACCTAAGTTATGTAGAAGAAATTATTTTGAAAGTTGTATACTGTAGGCCAGAATAAATTATCTTCCCAAGGCCACCTTGCTAATAAGGAGCAGAAGCCGCATTTGATTTCTCCTTAGAGGTACTGTCTCTCAGCTTATCTAGTCTTGTTCAGATAAGAAATTGTAGTCACTGCTGAAGTCTCCTTGTTACTCTGTATAGTGTGTCTAAACAATATGGCTGGTTTCAGTTTGTTTTTATTTGAGGAAAGTGTTGAATACCTGGAAACAAGTACCCTGAAAAGAAATGGTAGTAACTTATGGGGAGGGGGGAATTGAGGATTTTTTGAGCAGAGATTTTGCTTTAAGCTCTTTGTTCATTTCTACAAAGTCATCTGTGTATACTGTTTTCTTAGAGTAAATGAGGAAACTTAATGAAGAAACTCAATGCAAGAAATTGCATTGAGAACAATTTAAATGAGAAATTGAAAGATCACATTTTCAAAATTCATATGTATATTACATAGAACTTTCTTTACAGTCCTAGTAAATTCTTTTTTTTTTTTTTTTTTTAATAATTTTCTTCCCTTCCTTTTAAAATAGTAACATTGAGCAGTTTTGCTGTTATTTCAAAGAACTGCCCGCTGTGGAGTTAAGGAATGGGAAAACAGCAGGAAGGCGAACATACCACACCAGGAGCCAAGGGGATAACAATGTGTGAGTTCTAAGAATGTGTCCTTTCTGGCTTTGAGCTACAAAACCAATGACTCTTACTGGTGATTTCCATTGTAATATGTGAGTTAATAGGCACATACATTTAAAAAAACTCTTCTGCTAAAAATTGTGTTTAAGTATCTAGCTGGTAATCTTAATAATTGTTGGAATCATTTTATTTCTATTTACCTGATAGGTAGGATAGATTTAGCGCTCTACTTACTGAGTCTTTGTGGATTTGAACATTCTAAAATTGACATCTATATATGAAATACAGTTGTAGGTGTAGACCAGCATGAATATCATTAGTCTTTGTGAATTGATTTGTCTGATAGTGTTAGGTGAATCTGTCTTGGATAATAAAATTGTAGTCATCAAGTTAATTATGGGGCAATACAGTCAAATCTTAGTTGATATGGAAAGGGAAAAAATTGACAGATGATTATTGAGAACCAATATGTATTCAAATTCAGTGTAGCCACATTCTCTTTGGGGTTCAGAAGATCTGTCACATTATCATGATTGTAAGGGGCACATTTTTTCGTATCTTAACATTACTGACATAGGGCTATGATTTATAATCTATATATATTTTAATGTAATATTTTCCCTGCCTGTCTATCCCTGCTCCCACACACTCCATCCCCACACATTTTGAAAAGCCATCATATAATTTGACAGTGTTCTACCTAGGTGGCTGAAGGAGAACAGGATAAAAGTTGAGAATAGTGTACAGTCTGGATAGAGCCAAAATATGGGGGAACTTGAAAGCCAGGCATTGCAGCAGGGATGGAATGACATCATTAGAAGTGGTGTTTTAAGAGTTTACTTTGGTAGCAGCATATAGGATGAGCTGGAAAATGCCTGCATTCAAGGAGGCTTCACACTTGATAGTAATTGGGTTGGAGGGCATAGCAGTGAAATGAAGAGGAAAAAACACATATTCACAAAAGTTAAGGGAAGAATTAGTAGTACCTAATGCATTAGTGTCACTGAGGATTTAGTTACAAACTGTAGCAATTGCCTCTGGCCATGTTAGGCAGAAAATAAATTTACTGAAGGTCTGTTGGTGAGCTAACTATTACTGGATGGGTGGAAAATCAGGTCTGGAGTCTAGGCATCCAGGACCACAGGTGCGGTCATCCCCCGAACTGTCCCATAAGGACATCACTGCTTCCACTACCCAGTGTGACACCAGAGTTCCCGTTGCCAGCACTGCTGGAGTTGGGTGCTGAGTGAATGCTACTGTTACTGCTGCCTCTGCACTCCAGATGATACTCTTTGCCACCAGAAAGGATTTGGCACTGTCCCAGCTCATTTGCATCACTAACTCCTGCTTCAAATAGGCAGAACCCAGGCCAGGTACCTAAGTCCGGGCTGCAAGGGAAGCTGAGAAAGCAAGTATCTGGCCTTTTCAGCTTCCATAGTGGGAGGCAGGCTCTGACTCTCACCCAGACTCTTAAGGTGGGGACTTCCTCAAACATAGCAAGAGGGTTCAGGTACCAGAAGTAAAAAATATGATTTGTATCCCAGGAACCTACTGGATAATGGGAGTTGAGAAAGAAGATATTGAGATTCCCTGAGATATCAGTCAGGTATCCATGAGTATGGTAGTTGTATTGACAGAGTCATTGAAGTTGAGGACATGTATCAATTTACCTACATGCATAGAAAACCAAAATTAACAGTGACTTAAACATCCATGGTTTATTTTCTCATGTAAAAGTTGGAGGTATTCTATATCTAGGGATGTTTCACACAATCATCAGGCTCCTTCTAGCTTTCTATTCCACCAGCCCTACGGTGGGGCTCTCATCCACGTAGTCCAAGATGGTACTGGAGTGCCACCATTTTGTCCTCATTCCAGGTAGAAGGAAGAAGAAAGAGATTAATACGAAGGACTGCTCTTTAAGGAAATTTCTCAGAAGTTGGACACACTCTAAATTTTTATTCCAAGAGTTCATATGCCAAGCGAAAAATAGAAGATCTATTTGTGTGAGAGAAGAGGTGAATGGATATTGCGGGACAGTAGGAGAGTACAGAGAGCAGCTTTAGTATACATTGAGTTTGAAGTGACAAGAGGACATCCAGTAGAAAATTCCTGTTGGAAACTGGAGAAACCTGAATAAAAGTGGTCATGAAATGACCAAGCTAATCTGGCTTTTAGCTTGAGAGTCGTTGGTATCGAGTTGAGTGTCGAAGCTCTGTGGCCATATGAACCCTCTGAGGCAGAGAAGAGCAGATGGTCACACACTGACGTCTGGGAAGTGCTCCTAGTGAGGGGCAAGAAGGAAAAATGCAGGAGTTAAGTTTTTTTTAAACGTACCTTCTTAGGTAATTTGGTTTGTAACTTATTCATTGCTTTATGTACAAGTATAGCAGTACTTTGGCACACTCAAAGTATACCATATGGTTAAAAAACTAGTTTTGTCAGTAGTTACTGCTATTTTTATGGGTTTTTGAGAGGCTCTTCCTTAACCGTCAGACTTAATTCAGGAGGCCAGAACCTTTTTATACTTTCATTTTTTTATTTATTATGAATTTTAGACAATCGGACATTATACACTGAAATAGTAGCCTCTCACTAATGCTAAGAGTATCATCCCTTCCTGTTTTCCAGGTCTTTGGTGGAAGAGTTTAGAAAGACACTCTGTGCTTTATGGCAAGGTAGCCAGACTGCATTTAGCCCAGAGTCCTTATTTTATGTTGTTTGGAAGATTATGCCAAATTTTAGGTAAGTATTATTTAATGAAGGATATTTGAAACATTATTAGTCTTTACACTTTTTCTGAAACAATTTCCAATGAAGTGGTGGTATTCTAAATAATCAAGACTGGTTTTGTTCTAGTTTTTTTAAGGAGAAGAACAGAAGTTGGATATATCTGACTAAAATGTGTTTCTTTACATAATAGATATGTATTAGAAATGTCTTTAACGAAGGGTGGGATATTTTGTTGTTATAAAAACAAAGCCCTTATGAATAACTTACGTGCTCTAGGAAGAATTTCCTTGATTCTTTCAAAATCTTATAAAGAATAATTACCATCATACACTGTCTTGTTATTTCAACTAAAAAAAATCCAATGTAATCAGTAGAAACACATGGTGTTATAGTCACTTTTCTGGTCTGGGTGCTGAAAGTCTTAGAAGATTGTAGTCAAGTCCATTGGGATTCACTTTCCAGAAGGTAGCTGGGCCACATCCTAATGTGGCTGTAGAGCGACTGTGTTTTCTGTGCTGTCTCAGCCACGCTTGAGTAGGGAGACAGCCCAGCTGTCAGAGGAGTCGACGCCCTCTCCTCCGTTAGTCTTCCCTCTAGGGAGTCAGGTAATCGCAGGTTTGGGGCCCTGCTGGTGTTTGACGGCAGCCTTTGCCGCCTTCTGCTGATTTTATCCTGCTGAAGCAAGTCACGGTTCTCACTAGTCATGATTTTGGCACCTAATATACATCCCTCTCTTTTTAAAAAAAATCAGCATGCTGTAGTAAAACTTAGCAATGTATCTTGCTCTATTGCCCAATAATAGTTTAGATATATTGGTAGTATAGGGAAATGTTTAAAAGGTAACAACTTCAAAGAACTGTAATTTGTTGCCTTACTGAAATGTTACCCCTGGTCTCGTTTTGAAGGAAACTTCTTTTATATATCATGCCATTTAAATCTCCTCATAGGGTTTCAGAATTTTTTCACTCTAAGTAGGAAAGGTAGAAATGACTGTTAAGTTACCACTAATGAGGTTTGGACTTAATATAAAATTTGTAACATTATCACCTAGTTCAACTTTTGATAGGGATTTAATCTTTGTGTTTTATTATTATATAAAAATAGTTTCCATTTATTGAATGCCTACTATGTGCCTAGCACTTTAGGTATTTTATATCCAATCTTCATTAAAAAAACACAACAACAAAATTCCTGTCAAGGTAGGAAGTATTAGCCTCATTTTAAAGAAGAAACAACTGAGACAGAGGGGGAGCAACTTCTTCAAACTTATACTTCTAGTAGGTGTTAGGACCAGAATTAGAACCCAGGTCTTTGGGGAGTTGGTTGATGATAGATATGTTAACGGTTAACGGTAATTTGTGCATACGACTGCGTGAGGCCTGCCAACTACCTTTATACTGTTCTGCTTGGTCCCCATGGTGACTCAGGTCCTTCATTCTTCATTGGGAGTTTAGAAACATTATGGAACTTTTATTCAATAGAATTCTGCTTTTCCTCTAAATTTGCCCACATCTCTGCCCTTTCTAGTTTCTATAGCCCAACTGTAAGCATGATTTAGTTTTTAGCTGCTTAATCTTACACATTTTAATATTCCTACCGATGAAGGCAAAGAACTTTTGGAAAAGGTAACCAGGTTGAGGAATTTGGCATGGAGTTTCCAGAGTGATTCCTAATACACATGAACTCTTAGATTTTCTTAATGACTGGTGAGAATAGGATGCCTGTGTATTCTTAGCAGGGCTTCTCTTAGTTCTGTAATAATTGAGATTGTTCCCCATTTTCATGTAATCATAGAATAATTTTCTCTTGGTCAGATCTAGATCTTGAGATTATATCATGGATAAAGCTTAGTGCAGTGTCACTGCACAACGCCCAGGTGTGAGGCAGGGAGCTGGGGCTTTCTTCTTGTAGCTGTTCTTCCTATTACTTATGCAGGGTGGAGTTCCTATAACACCTATGTGGAAGCGCAGTGAGTCTTGAATTATGTTTCTATTACATTTATAATCCCAAAGCAAATTTTTTTTAAAGTTTAGAAAGCCCATTTTCCTTGATTAACATATGACAGTGTCTAGGGAATTTGATCCTTTGGAATGAAATATGAGGACCTTGAAATACAAACATGCATGTAGAAGTAGGAACAACTTTCATTTATTAAATGCAGAAAAAAATGTACTCTAAATGTAGTTAACAGCTTTGGATATAGAAATCATCAAAGCTATTCTTTCTTTTCCCACTCAGACCAAAAGCCAGTTACCCAGCAGGGAAACTGTTCCTGCAGTCTAAATTTGACCTTCCCAATGTACATATCTACTTACCACACTTCTTATGGCTTCCTAGTATGCCCAGCTTTTCTTGTCCTTTATTCTTTTATAAAAATAACTTAAAGTTTTTTTTTTTTTAAATAAGCAAAATACGAATGGTTCAAAATACATCAAAAGGTAAAAACAGGATATGTGATGAAAGTTGTTTCTTTTACTCTATTGCCCAGCCATTCATTTTGCTTTTTGGAAGCAACCATAGATACTAGATTTTTGTGTATCCTTTCGGTGATATTGTGTTTGTATATATATAAGCATATGTGTAAGTTTTAACATAAATGGTAACATATCTTTTTTTCCTGCTTTGAAATGATTCATATCAGTATATAAATACCTTTCTTAGTCCATTTTCTGGCTGTGTAATATTACACTTTATGGTTGTGTCATAATTTACGTAATAGTCCCCTGCCAATGGTTTCTTCTCTTTTGATCTTCCAAACAGAGCTGCAGTCAATAGTCTCACGCATACATATGCAGGTATCTACGAGAGGAATTGCTGGGTCAAGAGATATTTGCTTTTGTAATTTTGGTAGTCTTTTCTGCTAGTGTTTCTTACTCTTTGCTTTCCTTAACATGTTTTTGTCTTGTTGCCTCTGTGTCTTTACTGTCATGTGATTCCTGCCTCTGTATTTGCCTGTGGTCCCCATCTCTTTCTTTAGGATCCAGCTTAATGCTAACACTCTCCAGGAAAGTCTCTTGATAATTCAAATCAGGTCACAGTATCTATTCCTTTACTTCTCACATTTTCATCTTATGTGCAATTTATACTTTCATGTATGACTTGATCTAATATATTTGCTTTGACTTCCCAAGACAGAGTTTCTTTAGTTTTTTAAATCAGTTCTTCTTGTAATGAATGTTTAAAAATGATGAGTGAATAAATTACTAAAACATTACTCTTATGTTTGCTAGCTATTCTTGGCTTTGTAGAAAATATAAAAGATCTTTGTAGACAATAAATAGGTCTTTGCATGTGATATTTTAACAATAATCTTTTTGGATACTTGTAAATAGAGAACTTTAAAAAATACTTTAATATTTTCTTTTATTTATTTATTTGTTTATTTATTTATTTATTTATTCCCCCAAAACCCCAGTAGATAGTTGTATGTCATAGCTGTACATCCTTCTAGTTGCTGTATGTGGGACGCGGCCTCAGCATGGCCGGAGGAGTGGTGCGCTGGTGCGCACCTGGGATCCGAACCCGGGCTGCCAGCAGCGGAGTGCGCACACTTAACTGCTAAGCCACGGGGCCGGCCCTGCTATGATATTTTCTATTTAAACAGTATTAGTTCTTCTGACTAGGAATTTTGCTATTTTATGTTTTTTCTGTATTTGTCAACAAAAAGACTCATCATTGTCATTTTAATTTTCTGGCATTTTTGTCTTGAAGCAACTCAGCCAAGACTGGTGCCACATACTGGATAGGAATAGCTAAACTTAACTGATTTTGGTTTTGTAGATAATTAGGGTAAAACAATAACTTAGAATTCTTTTATGAATGTTAAAGATATTTTAATATGAACACAACAGATACAAAATTCTAGTGTGTCCTAGGTATTTTAGAAGTTTGTTCTAGAAGGATAAAATTTGATTCTGTAGAAGCGTCTCCTGTTCCTTACTGGTCTTTGCCATTCTACACATTATGTACTGGTACCACCAAAGTGCAGAGAATAGTCCATAATACACACGTGTATGTCACAGTTACGCATGTCGGGGCATCACACAAGTACTCGTGTGTGCCTGTTTTCTGTGATGACTGTTTCATTATTTGGAATGTGTGCTTTTCACACTCAAGCCAGGTGCAGAGTAACATTTTCTTTGATTATTCTTTATCGGAATGTCTCGTTTTATTTGGGTAAATACGGTTTGCCTCATTGTGCCAAAAATTGTGAAGATACAGTTACCCCGTTCCTATACATCGTGCCTCAGCAGTGTCTCTCTTTCTCAGCCCCCTCATTCAGAAGGGATGCTTCATGATCTTTTAGGCTTTTTATATTTGCAGTATGCTCTCCAATGATTATTTCTCCTAGCATCTCTGTGACATAGATTTTCTGTAAACATTAAGGAGAAGGAGGTCGTCTTTGGCTAAGGTCCCAAACAAGTAAAGATAAGGAACAGTGTTAAAACTGGAGCTGCTGTTATTTCCCTGTCTTCTTTTCTCTCTTAATTCTGGCCTGTCACAGAGAGGCTAGTTGGTTCTTCATAAATCCATTTTGTCACTAATTCACAAACACCTGTTTGAGTGACATCCCTGAAATAATTTGTACACAAAACATAACCACTGCACCCAAATGTGAGGAGTGTTTCCTTTACCGTGATGACCAAACAAGAGAAACCTCAGTTGACCACAGACGAAACCCTGAAGGCCAGGTTGTATAATTGGAAAATAATTGAAAAGATAACTAAGTTTGTTGAATTTAACATACTAAACAATATTTATTTAAGATTTTCAGATAAGTCAATGGAAGTTTTTATTTAAATGTTTAAAGATGCAATTATAAATGTCTCTTTAGTCAGAATCAGAAAAATTTCCTAGTCTTAGAAGCAGCACAGGGCCGGCCCTGTGGCTTGGTGGTTAAGTGCGCGCACTGCAATGCTGGTGGCCCGGGTTCGGATCCCAGGTGCGCATCGAGGCACCACTTCTCCGTCCATCCTGAGGCCGAGTCCCACATACAGCAACTAGAAGGATGTGCAGCTATGACATACAACTATTTACTGGGGCTTTGGGGGGAAAAAATAAAATAAATAAAATCTTTAAAAAAAAAAAAAAAAAAGAAGCACAGACTGTTTTCTGGTAAAGATCACAAATTGAAACAGAAACCCATAACTTACCTTTATAAAACAGCTAAGTGTTCCATGATCTCATGTAGGTCAAAAAAATGAGTTTCTAATGGTAAAGGAAACAGAAAATAATGTATTTTGATATAAGAAAAGAGAATCATGATGTGGTTGGAAACATTCATTAATGTACATCAGGCAGGGATGTACGTTGAATTAATGTACATTAAAAAGGGATGGATATGTGTTTGATGAAAATGCAAATCGACATAACTACAAGGTACTAGTTTTCATGATCCATTTTAGAAAAATGATGATTAGATATTAGATTATTTTGGTGAGAAAATAAAACTTTTTTATATGTGATAGAATCTCAGATATGACCTAAAATACTAATCTTACCTTGAGTCATGAAAAAAAATGGATATTGTGTTGAAAAAGTTTAAAGCACCTCTTTAGATATATAAAGAAGCTACCAACTCTGAATACTTTTGACTGTGAATTTTTAACATTATTATTCATGTCTTAGAAGAAATACTTGAACATATATTATTTAGTTGTTCAATAGTTTAGAAAAAGTTACAGTGAAATGCTAAAGTGACTTCTGATTTAAGTTCCATTGATTAGGCAGATGGTTTTCATAATTTATGATTTCCAGGAGAAATTTCAGAAAAAGGGGGCAATATATATTGAGGGAAACTCTGGTTGAAAGAAATTTTGTTTATGGAACTATTGCCTGGATGAGTGGTGGAAGTTTTGACTCAATACTAGGCCAGAAAAACTTAGAATTTAAAGGCTAAAGAGAACCTTCCATGCTCGCAAAACGTAGGCAGAAGTCTTCTCTATCCATAGTTTTATGAAAGTATGTATCATTACTTGATTTATTTTATCTACGTAAACCTCTATGACCTTCCAACTGTGCCAGCTTCATTTTCTGTCAGCCTTCATCACTGTTCACTTGTCATTGATGTGTATTAGTATAAGAATTCCATATAATTTCCTGTCTGAATATAACATAAGAAGTAACCTAAGAATACGTTGCTGTATATATTCAAGTTTTAGGCTGGAGCATATTGTATATAAATCAATGCATTTTTTAAAGTATTTATTTAAAAAATGTCTTTGGAATCAGAGATTAGGATGCAAGTATAGTCTGTTAGACATCTTTAACCCTTTAAAGTTTTTTTTCCTTTCAGCCAATGTTTAAAAATTAGTATCTTTCAATCTAAAGAATTAGTTTTACATTCCTTATTTCTTATAGTGGTGGTTTATACTTTGTTTTCTGGTGAGAGTAAGATGTGAAATTTTAGCATTTGAGCATCTAGAGAGGCCATGTGGGATAGTGGGGTTATTCAGAGTCCATCTGGGAGACATGGAGTTTAGTGCCATCTCTGTTACTCTCTTGTAGGACTTTAGGCTAGTCACCCCTCCACCCCGCTCTGTTTTTTTTGACCCTCAATTTTCCTCATCTCTAAAGTGAGGTCAGTTGAGATCACTACAAGTCCAATTAGCTCTAACATTCTGTGTTTTCAAACTTGTTTTTAAGTAGTAGAATTTTTCCTTGAAGAGAAATTTTATGTGTAAAACATGGAGCGAGTGGGGATAGAGGGTGAGGGAGCCTCGCTGGGCTCTGAGCGCAGAGCTTTGCCCTCCTGCAAGTTTGGCTGGGTGGGTGGAGCCTCCCCAGTGACAGACTGTTTCTGTTTGCTTCAAGGGGTTATCAGCAGCAGGACGCCCATGAATTCATGCGCTACCTTTTGGACCACCTGCACTTGGAACTCCAAGGCGGTTTCAATGGTGTTTCCCGCTCAGCAGTTCTGCAGGAGAATTCTGCTCTGTCTGCAAGTAACAAATGTTGCATGTAAGATTTAGTTTCCTTTTGTTTTTTAAGAGGACTTCAGATATTTCTGTTGGTGTTATTGTTCATTAGATTTATAGTTGAAGGTGGAGAGTTTTCCTGGACCTTTGCGGAAACTTTCGTGCACTTGAACTTTGTGACCAAGTGGACTAGCACATGCCTCCTGCTTCCAGACCAGAGGCATCTTGTATGTGTATCTTGGTGTAGTTCTGATTGTTTTTGGTATAGATTATTGTAAAATTTGGAAAAAAGTAGAAAATATTTGTACAATTTAGCACTGAAAAATTTTCCTCCAAATGTATTGAATAATGGATGGGAGGCTTAATTTTCATATACTCAAATAATTATTTGTTCACTAAAAACAAAGGCTTAAAATATTTTGAATGTGAATTTTCCTAAAGCCTCATTTTGGACTTGAATTTTCCTAAAGTATTTCTGGTCTTTAATGAAATTGAGGCATTTGTAAGTCCTCAGAATTTTTTCTTGCCTCTCAGTATGAATACAACAAACCTTTTGGATTGCATTACCAGATACTAATACCCCAAAATATACATTGAGATTAGAATGTTTATTTTGCTTGAGGCAGGGATGATTTACTGTTATTTAAGCCTGGTTTTGGTTAATTATAGTCTGTTTTTGTTTAAATTTTTTGAAAAGTTTTGTATTGACCTATGCAGGAAAGGGATTTATAAGACAAACTCCCCAGAGAAAGAAAAGGGTAGGTAATATATAGCGGTCACTGTAGTATTGCCTGGCAGTCCATAAATCTGATTTAGTGTAAGATAAGGTCTTTTTAATGACAGAGCAGCCTCAAAGCTAATCTGGCCGTATCAGAGAAGGGCCATATGAATTGCCATACTTGTCAAAATGTTTGGCCCTACAGGTCCTAGTAGCTATGATTCCAATTAGCATCTCATACAGAAAGAGAAGGACCTGAGCCTGTTAGAATTGTTCTTGCTGCCAGCACCAAATTAAAAATAGTAGTAAATGAAAAAGTCTGTTTCGTATTTTATGATGGCATATTCCTACAAAAAGGATATTGAACTGGGCTCTATCAAGCGTAGTCTGTGTGAAGTGAGAGGATATATGTCTTTATTATTTTATTTGATGCCCAGAGCACCCTCATGGAGTCACATTGTGTAAGAGTCATAGGATGTTCTTTTAGTGACTAATGAGTTTTTAGTATTAGTCCAAATCCTTTCATGATATTTTAAAGAATAGTAATTGTAAGTTCCATTAGTGAGTTAGGAACAGAAAAGAAAAAATTTATTATCAAATATTCAAAATTCAGTTTTCCTTATATTTCTTTAAATTCATTGGAGGAGGCATTTCAGGATCTAAGGATCATATTTGCTAAAACTACAAAAAAGGTCTCCTATGCAATATTTGTGTTTACTTGTACAAACACATCCAACCCTACTGAAGGTGGGGTTGGGGATAGTAGTAGATGGCAGATGTGTTCTTTTTAGTACATAGAAAATCATTAGTGCCAATATAAAGGACCCTAGCAGCATAAGAGCCTATCCAAGTAGCCAATATTTCAACACTCTTGGTGTGCAGTTATAATAAATGGAACAGCGATTTTGAAATTATTTACAAATCTTGTTTTAAGTCATTGTATACTAACCTTAATGCCATGCACATCAGATAGCTAAGATTTGATCAGTATCCTTTTCTCAGAGGGAGAAATTATAAAGGAAGAGCTACATTGAGTTTAAATGGACTGCTTTTTAATGAAGCAGTTTCCATTTTAATTAAATGCAGCTTTGTATGTGAACATCAGTATGGAAAGATCAGTCACAGTCCCTTTATTTTCAGTAGATTTTTTTTGGTACATCCTTTGTTTATGACACAGATATTAAACCTAAAACCTGAAATGGCCATTATGTCCTACAGTTCCCAATGTATCTTCCCTTTATAATTTATTAAAGCTGTATATCTTATGAGCAACTTAAAAAAAAAAAAAAAAAGCTGCAGTATATTTCTTTTGCCAGCAAACGAAGGAAAGCCTTTCCTAGAAAAGGAAGCAAACTTTTAAAATAATAGAATTGCTCAGGTAGGTTTTGTCTGTCTCATCATTGCTATAGGTTTAATTTGGAGCAACTCAGAAAGTATGGTCTAGTATATTAGAAGTGTTATTGACTGCAGGTGACAGAAACCACCTCAAATTGCTGTTAGCAAAAAAGAGAATTTACTGGCTCAAGTAACTGCATAAGTGCACAAAAGTGTTTACTGTAGTACTATTAATGATAGCAAACAACTGAAACGACGTCCACGTCCATTCATGTTATTTTGGTTACATTAAGAGAAGGAGCATAGTGTTACGAGCAGCTGCTCAGGCCCGACCAGCTGTGTGACCTTGGGCCGAGTTACTTAACCTTTGGACCTCAGCTTCCTGGTCTGTGAAATGGGCGTAATCATATCTACTTCACAGAGTTGTTGTGAGGATTAATTGATTTAATAAATGGAAAGTACTGAGAATGGAGCCTGGCATCTAGTAAGTGCTTTATAAGCGCTTACCAATCATGCTTTCACTGGTGCACTTTCTCGGTTGTTCTTGCGTCCTTTCTGTCCACAATGTGGCACGCCATGCAGCTGTCAAAGAAAGAGTGAGGTGCGTGTTCAGGATATATACTTAGGGGAAAAAAAAAATAAAAGCAAAAGGCAGGTATGATCCTAATTATTATGCTAATGAAATAGCCTTACAACACTTTAAGGGCTTTCTTTGTAGTAAGTACTTGTCTAAAACTACTGTGCATATTCTTCACACCAGGCCTCTGAGGCAGCTGTGTTATTCTTGTTGTGCGTTTGACGCAGCTGAAGCACAGACAGGTCAAGTAACGTTAGGACAATCGGTTTTTATTGTTCTTAAAGTGGTGTATTCTTGATCTCCACACGGAAATTATTTACAGCATTGTTTTAACTGAGCTTTTTAAAGGTCTTGTTGACACTGAGATCCAGCACTTCAATTGTAAAGTCATACCTCTGCCAGTAATTACTAAATGTGTTCAATTTCTTTACCTCTTTTTCCCCAAATCTGACAGATGACCATGTGAAAAATCTAAAACTATCTCCGATTGAGGTTGTTGTTCAAAGTAAAGTAATTGAGAAAACTCCCTGTAATATGAGGCCTTGCAAAGATTCCAATATAGGGCAGTTCCCTCTTTTCTGAGGGAATGTGTTTGTGGGGGAAGGGGTCCTCTTGCCCTGAGTGGAGGCATGGACGTGATCCGTTTGTTAGTAATGGCAAAGGTCCGGTGTGAGTTACTTTTGGAGAAAGTAATGGGATTGGAAGAGGGGCTGGGGGGAGGCCAGTCAGTGGCTTAAACCTTTTAGTTAGTATACATCTATATAGCTTTGAAGTTTTTGTTTTTCATAATTTAAATAAATATAAATGATATACATATTCCCCCAAAGGGAGTCACCTATAGGAGCTTTTATACATTTATTTTAGTTTTTCACTGAGATATTTTCCTTTGTGGTGATTTTCTTTAGAAATGGAGCATCTACGGTTGTCACGGCTATATTTGGAGGCATTCTCCAAAATGAGGTTAACTGCCTCATATGTGGGACAGAATCTAGAAAGTTTGATCCATTCCTAGGTAAGACATATTTGGCATGTGGAGATATGATATTCTATTAAAATAATAATTTTAATGTTTCTTTGAAAATTAAGACAATAAAAAGATACATCTCTAAAAATACATCAATTTTTGAAATTATTTTTTGACTGTGGTTTTATATGCCTTTAACAGCTCTGTTTTCCTATTTCCTTTTAAGATCTTTCATTAGATATTCCAAGTCAGTTCAGAAATAAGCGCTCTAAGAATCAAGAAAATGGACCAGTTTGTTCATTACGAGGTAAAGATATTTTAATGTTCTAGAATTCTCCTTTTCCCCTGAAATAGCTGAATAGATTTATAAGTTCCATCTATATGTGCTATGTTAATTGCTTTAATGAATTTGTGTTATAACTTAAAAGTCAAACCTGAATGTCTCTTCTTATCCAAAAAAATTTAGTAAGAATGCCTGCCAAAGATATTAGATCAAGCATAAAATATTTCTCACCTTTTCTCTTCTTTTTAATACTAGTTTTAAAATTAAGAGTCTGTAACAAAACTTTTTCTCGTGTTATTTATTCTTTTGTATGACTAATAGTTTGAGAAATCTATTGATGATCCAACTGTTGGTTAAGCCTGAGGCCCTGCTTTTAATTTCAAGACTGTTGAGATTCACATTTACTTTGGGAGATTTTGAACAGATTTTTTCCTTGATGAGTATTAACTGCTTTAGTCAAGGCAAAAGACCTATCTTTGACCAACCACTAAAATGACTAATTGTTCTTCTTAGTCATAAAAAGAAGAAAGTAGGATAGAAAAAAGGAAAATGACTTAGTGTGTGTTGTATCATTAAGTAACTCTTCACTGAAGAGTTATATAAAAATAACATAATTTTTACCCTGAATTGTATGTTCACTAAAAGTAATTCTTTTCTCTTCTTCAGCTATTTTAGGGAGTATTGTCATAACGATTAATATATATACACATATAATCTTTTCCTACAGAAGACTCTATTGGTCCAAAACTGCACTGTCCAATAAGGCAACCATGAGTCACATGTGACTGGTAAAATTTAAATTAATGAAATAAATTTAGTTGCTCAAGCCATATTTTAAGTGTTTAATAACCACATATGGCTAGTGGTTACCGTATTGGACAGCACAGATGCAGAACATTTCAGGTACTGCAGAAAGTTCTATTGGACAGCAGTGCTCTAGAATCAAATTATCCTAGTAAAAATGTGACTTCCTGTTGGGGGAAGGACAGGCTTCTGGTGTCACAGGTGCGCTGTGCAGCATTTGGCTTATTAAAAGAGGAGCAGCAGCAGTCTCGCTTAGAGCACTGTTACTCAGCGAGTTTCTTGAAATCTCTCGGGATGACCGTCAAAGACACTGGACTACTGTAAGAAATGAGAGCAGAGCAACTCTGTATATTAAACATCCATAAAACATTTTGTGGATCTTTTCAGTTTGTTCCCCACCTAAGCAACAGTGTTGATGGTCTCTTTTGAAGAGGAGTTCAGAAGTAATTTCAGGAAGCCCCATCCACTCCACTTCCCCCTAAAATATATGGCTACAGTATATTTCTCCAAAGTTTTTTGGCTTCTTTGAGATTAAGAAAATATCACAATATATTTGATATCAAATTAACTTAGAAAACAAATGTTATCTGCTCAGAGAGGAAGTCAGTAAGAAATTATTAAAGGAATTAGAGCACCTCAAACTGTATAATCTAAATTGGATTATGACTTCATTTTATAATTTCTTCAATAAGAACTGTAATAATATTGACATTAGTAAAAAATACTGTTTCTTGATATAAACATGTGGATATATATTTGAGCAATATTTCCTAGTGTTTAACAAAACCCAGTAAGTCAAGATGCTCTTTGGTTGGAAGATCCAGAGACACTGGTTTGTTCAGGCTTCTTTCCTTCTGCACTGTCCCCCAAAACCAAATTGGTCATATACACGGTTCTTACTTGCCTTCTGTAGCATTTCACTTACTACTATCCCAGATGCTTTCATACTGAGAGACTTTCCTTTCTTGAGAACGTCCAGGAGGAGAGTGTATGACACAGCTTAGGTGGTTGATGGCATTTACATCTCATCCCAAGGAGTATTCTTCTTGGCAAAGACTCACTGAAATCTGATGTGACTGGTATTAGCGTCAGGGGGCCCAGACCATCCTGAAGTGTTTAGCGTTTGGCCGGAAACACGTTTCCTGTATTCTCAGCTGGCTTTCCTTTGAATTCTCAGACCTGATTATTGTTTTGTTAAAGAGCTTACTGTCGGCTTAAAAAAGTAGATGATAGGGTCTGGTAACTCCTCATTCTCTTTTTGTTTACCGCTGTTATCAGTTAAGGGCACTGCCTTTCTTGGATGTCCAGCATGTGATGAATTTCAGTTGATTAGATATGTGTGATCACCTAATGTCTTGCTTTTACATGCTTTATAAGTCTACTTGGCAAGAACTGTGTGTGTGCTGTTGGGATCTGTAATTAAGCTTAGTTTTCATTTAAAAAGGAAAGGTGATGGTGAGAAAGACCTCTGGAATTTGAAATTATTTAAAAGTGTGCATATTATGAGAGGCTAAAATAACCCCAGTTCTAAAACCTGACAAAGATACCATCAAAAAGGAAAGAAAATGTAGCCTCATCTTACCAATATTATAGATCAAAGAATCCTAAATAAAATATTAGCAAATAGAATCCAGTACTGTACTAAAACAGTAATATACAGAGATCAAGTAGGATTTATTCCAGTAATGCAAGACTGATTTAATATTAGAAAATATAATTTAGGGGCCAGCCCAGTGGTGTAGTGGTTAAGTTCACACACTCAGCTTTGGTGGCCCGAGGTTCACGGGTTCGGATCTTGGGCGTGGATCTACTCACTGCTCATCAAGCCATGCTGAGGCCGCATCCCACATAGAGCAAGTAGAAGGATGTACAACTAAGACATACAACTATCTACTGGGGCTTTGGGGAGGAAAAAAAAGAGGAAGATTGGCAACAGCTGTTAGCTCAGGGCCACTCTTCCTCAAAAAAAAAAAATGTTAAAAAATAAAATATAATTTATTGGGAGAAGACAAATCAAAATGAGCAAGTAGGTTTTGGTAAAATTCCAAATCCATTACTGATTAAAAGAAGAAGAAAAAAAAGACCTCTTATTAACTCTTACTAAGCTAGGAACAGAAATGTTCCTAACTTGATGAGGATTATCCATCAAAAGCGATCAGTGACCATCACAGTTAACAGTAAAGCACTAACGATTTTCCAAGTCAGGAATCAGCCAGGAGACCTGCCACTGAGGGACAAGGTGATAGACAAGGAAGAGAAATAAGAGTAAATAATGCAGAGGAGAGACCAAATTAGCAACATTTGCAGATGAACTGAGTACACATCTAGAACATTTCAAGAGAATCAGTTGGAAATTGTGAGAGAATGTTTAACAATAGCTATCTCTGGAGAGCAGGACTGGGCAGGAGACCTGCTTTTCTAAAAGCCCTCAATGTTTAAAAAATTAAATACAGGGCCGGCCCTGTGGCTTGGTGGTTAAGTGCGCGCGCTGCAACGCTGGCGGCCGGGGTTCGGATCCCGGGTGCGCATCGAGGCACCACTTCTCCGTCCATCCTGAGGCCGAGTCCCACATACAGCAACTAGAAGGATGTGCAGCTATGACATACAACTATCTGCTGGGGCTTTGGGGGGAAAAAATAAATAAAATCTTTAAAAAAAAATTAAATACAGGTATTACTTTGACAAATAAGTTGTAAACATGGAGCAAAAAATTTTAGTAAGGTGGCCAAAGAGAAAATAAATAGGCAAAAAACCAATTGCTTTCCTGTACACAGCAAAAGATCCTATTCACAGTAGCAATAAAATCTCAAGAATAAATTTACTGAGAAATATGTAAGACCTAGATGAAGAAAATTATAAAACTTCATAAAAGGACAGATAAAAGCCTGAACAGAGCCATGTCATATTCTTAGATGGGAAGATTCAATATGGTAGAGATGTCAGTTTTCCCCAGAATTACTCCCTAAATTTATTCTAATTTGTTCAAAAGTAGAAATTCTTAAGAGGAGCTTAAAAAGTTTTTAAAATGAAGATAAGGGAGCAGGATAGTGATAAGGTAGGAAATGTCCTAGAAGTACTAATTTAGCAGGTGCTGATGTAAAAATGTATATATGAGAATTTATTATATGGCAAAGAAAAAACTTCAAGGCAGTGGAGGAAATAAGAAATTAGTCAATAAATGGTGTTAATGTAAATGAAAATGTGGGACAATATTAATTTCATCCCTAACTCATATCTTTTCCCAAATTAATTTGAGGTTTCGAGATTTAATAAAACCACAGAACACTATATGAAAACATCTTTTTGATCTTGTTGCAGGAGAGATCTTTATAAGTATGTCACCAAAGCCAGAACCTGTAAAGGAAAAAATTCATAAAAGACACCATAAATAAAGTAGAAAAGGAGATGATAAACTTGAAACAAATATTTGTAACATATGTGAAAGAGAGTACTTGGGCAAAGTATATGAATAGGAAAAAGAAATGCAAATAGTCAATTTAACATCTGAAAAAATATTGTGTCATTTATATTCAAGAAAGCATAAGTAAAGCAAAATTGGTCAAAATGATAGAGATAGATAATATCCGTTGTTAGTGAAAGTTATGGAAAGCGGGCACTCTCATATATTGGTGTTAGGAGTATAATTGCTGCAGCTTTTGGAGGGTAGTGATCACCATTTTTAAAGGGAATTCCCTGAGACATAGTAATTTGACTTGCAAATGTGGGCAATAGCATATGTAAAAGATGTTCATTGAAACATTCTTTGTTATTGCAAAAAATAAAAACAATTTATGTGTTTACCAGTAGGGCATTGGTTTAATAAATTGTACTCTGTATAAGTTAAGAAAAAGTTGATCAATTGCCAGGCCACAGAAAGATAGCTACAAAATATTGTAGAGTAACACACTGTCTGTGGAAGTATGTATATAAAATGATTCCATTTGTGTAAGATAAAAAACATTCACATGTGCATTAAAATTCTTGAGCAACATACTCCATCTGTTCACAGTGATTATCTTAGGGGAGTGGGATTCAGGAAGAAATGGAAGCATAACGTATTTTTTCATGCTCTTTTATATTGTTTGAATTTTTTTAAGCTATTGTGTCAACCTTTATAATTATATATTTGCGGGGAATAAAACAAAATGTGGATTAATTTATGTATACTCCCCAATTACTGCTTTGCTAAATTAAATTTATATAGTGTATAAAGGTGATCT